TTATTATCATTATTATTGTTGTTGTTATTTTTATTATAATTATTATTATTATTATCTTCGAAGATTGTTGATCAGGTTGTTGGCCTTCATAATTATCAGGCGAGATCAGGAACGTCGTTTATTTAGTTTTAGTACGGGTTATTTGTTCTTGTAAGAGTTTTACGGCACTTGCAACACAATAAGGTCATATAAGTGCCGAAGATTAGAGGTGTTACAAGAAAGTAACATACATTAAAAAGAAGGAGGGCAGATAGGGACGATAGATTTTTTATAGGAAAGAAGGAGCAAACCACACCAGAGCACCCGCCAACCACCCACAGTAAGGGTTTTACGGCACTTGCAAGACAAATAGGTCACATAAGACTGGAGGTGTTACAAGAAAACCAAACAAATAATAAGGAGGAGAGATAGGATATGAACGATAGATGTTTGCATGACAGGCAAAAGGAGCAGACGACACCAAAGCACCCGACTAACCACCCACGGAACGGCCTTGAACTCAAGCAGCGCGTGAAGAAACAAAAGGTTAAAAAATTATAAATAAATAAATAAATAAATAAATAAATAAATAAATAAATAAATAAATAAATGAATAAATATAAGCGCCAAATGAAAAAACCCAATAAAATACACTTAACACTAAGATTAACATGCGCATCATTTTCAATATTACATCATCAAATCGTTAGCATCATCATCATCATCATCATCATCATCATAATCATCATCATCATCATTATCATCATCATCATCATAGACTAAACAACTCCCCTTTTTCTCGTTCTGTTTTTCTTGAAACAGAACAATTTGCACCCCATGTCAACACAATTTTACGTAATCTACAAACATCGGCACCAAAATCAGGGCACGGGACCTAAAAAAAAATAATTTTAAATAGATATATAAATAAATCTATAAATAGGTCACCTGGTCGGACAAAGCTGCGTCGTGTGACGTCTTGGAAGCTTCAATCCTATGCAGGACTCGCTGCTCGATCTGGCTCTCCATGTCAGCTAGCAGGAAGTAAACGGTCACCAACACACACGCAGCGCACAGAATCGAACACAGGAGCACGGCAGCACATGCCAGGCCCACTAGTCCTCTTCCACTACCACCACCACCACCACCACCACCACCACTGCCACCGTAACCACAAACTCTTCGGCTTCGACGTCGCTCTGTCTGGGATTCCAAATCGTAATAATTCCCCGGCTCGTATTTATTAATGGAGAATGTGGAGCGAGGAGGGAGCAGCAGTGTTGTGAGATCATGATGACTGCTGCTGCTGTTGGTCTCCCGATCGCCTCTTGGGTCTTTCGTGGAGTCGGTGGTGGACTGCTGTCGTAGCTGGCGTGGGGCGAAGCATTTCTCAACGCTGTGTGGCTGCATTGTTGGGTTGGCCTAATTATTTGTAACGCGCGCCGTGGTAAAGCCAAAACAGGAACGGTGCAGTCAGTTCAGAGTCAAGGTTTCGTTTTGTTTTGAGTTGTTGTTTTTCCTTTCGAGTGTGTGTGTGTGTGTGTGTGTGTGTGTGTGTGTGTGTGCGTTGGGTTTTTAAAAAATTGTTTTCCCTGTTGAGGTAGCAGGCACTCAGTGAGAGTTGCGAGGAGGTGGATGACAGATATCTCGGGTGTCGCTTGACACCGCCGATCAACTTGACCTGATTAAAATACCTGTGAAGGATGATAAGGATGTTTGATCTGGATATATAATCTATATAGACAAATGAGATAAGGCGAGTGGCCTGTGATAAATTCGCTTAGACGACAGACCGTGGGAGTAAACGAAACACAGGATACATACATACAGGATAAGCAGGTGAGTTGGATCTCGTGGTTTTGGTTTGTCATGTACACAAAGTAGATCTAAATCTATGTGTCAATTACACAACTGCTGCATAACTTTGATTTCTGAGAAACCCATTTGTGTGTGTGTGTGTGTGTGTGTGTGTGTGTGTGTGTGTGTGTGTGTGTGTGGTTTTTTGTCTTTTTTTTTGGGGGGGCGGTGCTTTTTGTTTGTTTTTTGTTTGTTAGTTAGTTGGGTTTTTTATTCTTTCTTTTTTTCAAGCTGAGACTTTTACGAGATCATACCCTTGCATCTTCTAAGCAAAAATGTACGATATTTTCCTAGCATTGATGGATCAGTAAAGAAGGTTTGCGCGTCTTTTTTTAAATTATGATTATTTTTTAGTATTTTTGTATGTCGGTGTTCTATCTTAAAGTGTGTCCTTCGTTCAATAAACAAAGTCTTCTCTCTCCTGTGATTTCAATCCTAGGTTTGCAGGTCATTAGCTCGCCGGGGTTGTAAAAGTTACTGTAGGCTACACTGCATCCTTGAGATAGGATATTACATTGCATAATCTGTACAGCTGTGATTGCTTTTCAGAACTCGACAGTCAACGTGAGAACGAGACATAATTTATGTTGTAGTAAAAGCAGCAGTTGGGGTCATGGATTTTGCGTGTATGTGTGTGTGTGTGTGTGTGTGTGTGTGTGTGTGTGTGTGTGTGTGTGTGTGG